GGGGGGTTCTCAAGTAGAACTTCTTTTCATGCCTAAGGGCAACCCTGAGGAAGCGAAACCATTCGAGTAAGTTTGTTTTGTACACATAAGGAAGGACCACAGTATAAACTGGCATAGGTTGTTTGTGTTTGTGTTTGAGGTGGAAGCAGACGTCTACAAAATTTAAGTTCAATTTTAGTAACTTTAAAATCTCAAATAAAATTAATTAACCTTTCAAAAATTATTTTAATTTGAGCTAAGATCCATATTTCACCTATTTGTGTAAATGGTCAAATGCACTTGTCTACGTAAATAGGTTATTTAAGTAAGAATCATCTAATTATGTTCAACATAATTCTTAGTGTGTTAATCTTTTTAGAGATTTCAAATACATACACACTCAATATAACTTGAAATAAAATGATCACATGTACCTAAATCTTTCTTGATTTTATCATTACAAGAAACTTAGGTTTATAGGACTTAAAAAACATCTGAGTGCCATAATAGACTCTATTATAGAATTTAATTTATAGGACCAATCAATTAATTATGTGTCATATTTTAAAATGTTACAATAAGTTTATATATAATGTTTTTGGATGTCTTATCAAGTTTAAAACGTCCTACTAACAATTTTATAAGACATTATTTGAAAATAAGTATCACATAAAAGATGTGTTGATTGGACGAGTCTTAGAATTGTCATACAAAACTAATACAATATTGTATTTTTAAAATGTTTTAAAAAACCTACTAAGTCGTCTAATAGGACGCATGATTGTTTGATTATATGAATTAAATCACTATAAAATAGTTTATTAAAACATGTTTTTCTTAAAACTTTAATATCGTTTTTTATTTGGAATTAAATTTGAGTTTGAATCGATGATCTTATTCTGCATTTATTAATGTAATAAATACAATATTGCGACAAAGAAGATTGTTGAATCATGGCCGGTGATAGAGAGAGAGATCGAGGGAACGCGGTGGATATCTTAAGTGGGACCTGGGCTATGTCTTGAGAGGTATATATATATATATATATATATATAGGGAAGGGTTCAAACGAGAACCCCTGTGATTTACGAGAATACGAGAACAACCCAATAACCATATATTGTGATAAAAAATAAAATTAAAAGATTTTTAAAACTAAAATTGAAATTTAAAAAGATTCAGAAAATATTAAAATTAAAAGGGTAATAATGGAAATGATATCATAAAATCTTTTAAWAYSATTACACGATCATGATTATCATTATCTAATAAACGGTTAATCATGTGATATGGGTGTGATAATCATGTGATTATCACACAATTATCACAT